TCCTTCGGAAATACTTTGATTTACAAAACATTTTGGGTGTTGTTTTCTCAGCTACTTTGTCTCTAACAGACTTCGTTTCTTCTCATTTACGAGATCAAAATGGTGAGATTCGAATTTGAAGCACGCAGGTTGAAAAAGATGCTATGTCACACCTGCCAAGGTGAATAAGGTCTCACTGTATATTCCTCTCCAAGACAAGCATAGACATATGCTACAATCCAAAGGACTATAATGTTAGCTATGTTGCAATAGAAATATGTACTTATGTAATATTTAACAATTGTTAAATTAGTTTTTTCATTGCCATGGCTAATTATTCAACAATTCATTTAAATTCGCAGTACATTTCCTATCATGTGACAAATTCTTTAGTTTGTTTTTATTAAAAAATGGCACAATTTATCGATATTCAATAAGAATACCTTTTTTATGTAGAAAACCCTAGATATTCAAATTCTAAAATTGAATTTCAAAAATAGAATCACACAAAATTTTTGGGGCTAAAATAACCTGAGTCCATCCCTGTTTACATACGTTTACAAACAAAACTGTCCAAAATCGTTAATATTTTTAAATCCAGCATAAAAAACTAGGATAGGATACCAAATTTTATGTCTTTATCTCAACACGTTTCGGAAATATTAAGGAAAAACCAGCTTCACGGAGCCCCTTTAAAAGACCGTAGCGCCCTTAGGGGACGTTTCTCGACCTATTTTTATATAAACTTTTCTTAATATTTTAAGCTCTAGAAACGGCTGGTAGAATATTGCACACTTTTTTCGGGACACCCTGTATATGCTGTACGTCGCCGTTTAAAGGACCGGAATTTGGAGGAAGCATGACCATGTGCTCCATCTGGAACCCTTCCATGTTACGATACGCCACGGCATGGCGACGTCTTCCCTCGGGACTGTGCGGCGCCTCGCGGCTAACTCGATTTGCACACTCCTGACGGCTCATTGGATAACCTTCCTTGCCCCGGCTAATCATGTTCAGCGGTCGGGTTTCTATTATTTATTTACCGCTAAAGCTCGCCGGTCGGTACGTGCCTCCTGGAAGGGTTCGCCGCAATAATTAGTAGCAATGATGGAATTGGATTGACAGTTCTAGAAGATCGCAATAATTAGAGGAAGTAACTAAATTGCTTACAAGTCCATCATGATAAAATTCGGCAAGCATTTTGACTGTGGGACTTCTGCAAGTGACCCATGGATGGCAGTAGAACTTTTCCAGCTCTTAAAGAAAACTCCAGGACGGGCATTCGGTACAACAAAGTAATTTTTAACGTCACTGATAACCACATTTTTGATATTGTTAACTGTGAGTGTCTTACTCTCTGTCTCATACAACTTGAGCTATCTCGGGTCTATCCTCTGTTGACTTCTCAACGTATATTCTGCCACTTACCAGCTACAAATTGAGTCATTGGCTTCTGCTCTTATCCTCCGTTTTTGTCAGGATACTACGGAGGATTTGGGGTTTCTTGATAATCCCGTAACGTCACAATCTGAACAGACTCACGCTTCGACAGACATCTTGGAGACATTCACACTAAGCGAACGAATTCGTTATTAATATGGAAACGTGCCATTTTTGTTCTTTCAGAAGATTAATTTGAAAAAAAAATCTACACGGTACCCGGCGCCTCAGATAGATACATGCATGTCGTATATACATACCGAGTAGCTCGGTTATAAAAACTTGCTTATTACTTCCCACGCCAATTGGTGAGGAAATATTGTAATTGCCAAAAATTTCGTAAACGTATTATGATTTTTGGATGTTGCATGACAATAACATAAAGAAAAAGCTTAAGTAATTTGAATAGAATCGTGTGATATGTAGAATCCGATGCGAAGTTCCATTACTTGTGACTGTATTGCACTTATTTGATGGAGTTTTTCATTGCCAAATTCAGAATAACTTACGTATTTTCGTATTTGCTTCAAGGGTGCAAGGACGCCTGTTGGGATATCGCTGCATAATTCAACTCTAAAGCGTATCCCCCTTTGTACAGCATTCGTCCTTAACCTAAATACTTGTCTTCTTGTATACGAGTCATCAAAGCAGCTTTTTATTACAGAGAGATAATAAGTTTAAGCTTTTACAAAGACTTAAAAAGCTGCTCCCTTTTTATGCGGTATTACGTACGCTGTGGAAAAAGATACAGCAACATAATAAGCGGCTTAACTACATACAACCAGCAGGCTTTAGGGATATAAAAGAGAAGTTTCATGCTAGATTATTTCGTAGCGTGTAAGTTAAAAATTAGAAAAAATCCTTGTGGAAGGCAAATGAAGAAGTTATTGTTCAATCATTCTGAAACGGAATTACAGCCTTGTGATCCATCCGAAGGATCCAATTTAGCTTCTGTCATTGTACTTTCCGTCCAGCCGTTCAGATTCGTGTTTTTCTTCTTCAGTTGCTGTGTTGTACAATTTTGGCTCCTGCGACTGATCTACGATACTCTGTAAAGGCATATATTTACCACATATAGCACAAAACTGTTTAGATTGTAGCTATGTCCTAATTTGAATATGGCTTAATACTCATCGCCACCATAAATGCAAGTAGATTGGAAAATATCAAACACTAAAGCTGTCTCACAAACATTTTTGGAATGAGCATTAAATTGTACAAGATTGTTGGGTCCCCAAGCAGTAGAGAGCTGGACGTGATTTTTCCAGCAAGTGCTGACGTCAGCGAAGCTCTTTCAGGAAAGGAGGTCGTTGATATGTAAAAGAAACAGTGTCAGAGCCAAGACTGATCCCTGGGGAACACCCGCTTTGACGTTGTGGGATGAAGAGGAGAGAGAGAAAGTCAACCACCGATCTCTAAAGCTTCTTTGGGAGGCCATAGGATGGAAGTTTGCTTAAGAGGAAGCGTGCCACCGCTGATCGAATGCTTTCGTCATTTCCAGAGCAACGACATGAGCCTCACGTGACGTGGAGGAGGTCCTCTGTAGGTCGCTGGTGACGAAACAATACTGCCTGTCGCTAATCAAGCCATGATGTTCGAGTTAGCCCAGCAGCTCGCGATTAATCCACCTTACTTATAAAAGAAGGCAAAGCCACATGCCTGTGGAAAGAGTCAGTCTGAGATCCCTTTTTCGGGATGGGTTGAACATGAGCGAATTTTCGGTTTTCTGGGAAGGCGCCGGATTCCTAAGATATCTGGAAGAGACGCGAAAGAAGATTTATAAATAACTTTATAACACAGAGTCTAAAAGGGTATTGACCATTGAGATGTGGCCCTCAAGGTTTTCTAATGTGACTGAGATACTTATTAACAGTTTGCGTCATGGAATAATAAGCGAGAAGTTATCGTAAGCTGACTGTCCTGTCTCAATACGCTGATGCATCATTCTACTATTAACTGCGTAGTAATAAAGGGTCATGTATCGAAAAATACCATATAGTCAAGGAGTTTTAAAAAAAACTTTTTAACGGAAACGAATAAACGGATGAAAAACCTTTTATCGTGGAGTCCGAAGTATGGGCTTTCTTATGCAAAAGTCTTTAGGTCCGTAACTCCGTTATCTTCAGAGATGATAGATTCTGGACACCAAAAGGCGCGTTTTAGTCGCAAAAAAGGTATTTTTTCAACATTTCAAATTGTTTAATTAAATTATCAAGTGGGTGCCCTGAATGGAAATAAACTCTCTCCAGGTAATTTATAGTACTCGTTCAGATATGTGCCGTGCGAAATTCCTTTTCTCTTTGGTAAAGGAGATATCGGAGTTTTTACGGAAATTTGCCATGTTCCTCGTTTTTTTTTTGAGACTGATCTCGAGTCGATATTTTGGTAAACGGCAAAACGCGGCTTTCCAAGGTCGTGGTTCTACGCGAAAAACCACCGTTTTTTCGACTTTAACCGCCCTTTTCGATAGTTCTTCGTCATCATACCTCGTCAATTTGTACTCATTCGTAAAGTTTTGAGTTTCGGAAACGGTATCGTTTTCTAAAAAAACCTTTCGCAAACCATTAAAAAAATTCGGAAAAACCGCACCGACGCACAGTGTGTATAGGGATCAGGGACAAAATTCGATATCTTAAAAACTAGTGGTCCTATTTGAATTCTGGTAACGCAGGGCGATTACTTATTTAAGTAGCTTTCTAAAGTATGACAAAAACTATTTAAAATAATAAGAAGGGGTGGGGGAGCAGGCGGGATGCATTTCGCATAAATCGTTTTTTTTTTTGTAAAAGTCAAAATATTAAGTTGATGATCTCGAATAAATTGGGATAAGGTAGGATATTATTATAGCATTCTTAGAGAGACAAAAAAGTCACGCTTTTATTTTTCAAGATCTTTACCGAATGATTTAAAAGATAATGTAGCCAACTTGTGGCGGGCGCAATATGATTTATTAAATTTGTCTATCTATTTGAAAAAATAATAAGAATAATTCAAATAAAAAATAAATCTGTATAATTTGAAATTGATATTTAGGTTTTTATTTAAAAAAATATATTTAACAAAATAACAATTACTTAGTAGGTAATGTATGAAATAATAATATAAACTATATTAAAAAAATAACACCAAATATACCCATTCTAATCGGAATAGGATTTCTTGCTCGGTGCTGTGTCATTCGTTATTGTACCTAAGTCAATACCTAAATCATCATTTTCTTGCTTTTTTAAATAGTTCTGAACTGCCTCGTTGCATTTCTTATATTTTTTTGAGCTCACCTTTCTTTTTGAGGATATAAAAGGATCAGAAGTAAGTAAAAGAACACGCATGAGATCCTTATTCGTATCTGTTCTTGAACATTTTCTGGTGTGAGATAATCGATGTTTCCTAACCTCTTCATGACGAGCCTCAAGCGCATCCTCCGACAGTTCTCCAATGGGCAAACAAAATGCATCAATTATCTCACACCCATGAACAAGGACCTTATGTACCGTGTTTGGCATGTTGTACCACTTATAAAGGTGGATATACAAATTTCTTGCTTCTTCCAGCAATGACGCAAACTTTTCCATATCAATAGCTCAACCACTAGCTAACACTCCTAAGATGATCGCAAATTTCTCGATTAATTCCCTGTCAACCCCTGTGATATCTGAACTTGTTTGTGGATTGTGGAAAAAAATTCTGGCCGTATTGCCATCATTTGAGGAGCCATACCCGGGTTTTGGGTTGTCAACTAGTAGAGACAGCTTGGCTCTGAACTCTGCTTGGATTCGTTTTTTGTTTGCTTCGACTATAGCTTTGTTTTCAGGCCCACGAACCTGCCAAGATTTAATTGGCAGGCGGTATTCAATATGGAGTAAGCATTCAAAAAAACGAATCCAGCAGTGTAAAGTTGACAAACCAAACCGGTAATTGTCTACGTTAGGAGGACGGTTAATCCCTGCTAACGTGTTCATGTCCTTGGGTGTGGCTCCGCAAATGATGCACTTCATAGTTGAATTTGTCTCTGATAGAACGTCTCCAACAATGCCGTCCAACATTGTTAACATCATATCAACGTCAATTATATAAGAGTGCCCTTCTTTTGTTTTAATCTCAATTGGAATCGTATTTTCAATTTTTGTTATTATTTCCTTTTCCGTATTCCGCACTAAATCAGCATTTTCCTTTTTAAATAAAAACTTGATCGGCCTACAATATAAAGTAGATGAAGGGCTCTCATTTTTCCATAATACCTTATTCGTTTCCATATCAATCAATCTGAGTGGCGTCATTACTATAAGAAACAGAAATTCGTCGTTGTTTTCTAAATCAGAAAATTTCTGCTTATATTGGCTATACCCAGAACTGCCATCAAATCCCCACTTGCATAATCACTTTAATCCGGCAATCTCTCTCTTCAAAATTTATTATTTCAAGGATACTTTCAGCTGTTTTCTGTAGAAGTTCTTGCAAATCAACTTCTGCAGAAATTTCAGTAATAATAAATTGTGAAGGGAGGATAGCATTTTTTGTTTTCTGTAATTCTTTATAACTAGGAAGGCAGTTCTGGGCCTTACCATTAATAACAGACTTAAGTAGCAAATACTTTCTTACGGATATATCCAAATCTACCATAAGGGCTAAAGCTTCAGCTGTACTAAAACTAAAAATTTGTCGCGAGACCTCACTGTGATTGCTTCCAGAAACGACATTTACAGCAAATTGAAGTTCATTTGCAGATATGTCTGTGGTTAGTTCGGCTACACGTCTTCGTTTTATTTTCTTCGATGCCTATTCAAATGGCACCCGTGGCCGTCCAACTGAGCGACAAGGAGGTTCTTGTTCCTCATCCGAAGATGTGTTTTCTTCAGAATCATTATTTATTCTATATAATAATCTTGTCTAACCCATATACCTGATTTTGTAAAAGTCGATTCCGAGATTGTCCTACTTTCTGCCATTTATTTGCCATTTTCAACCCAAACAATTGGCAGCATTTCATAATATTACTTTTAAGATGTTTGGAAGGTTCATCTGTTATATCAATAAGAGATAATATCTTTTCATAAACCACCTGTTTTCTATTTCCTCTCGGTGCTTCTATCCACACATCAATCAAATCTCTATTTCTGACAATAGCACCATGTCCTAAAAAAAATTATATCTCCCTTAGACGTGGCATGACGTGATTTAAACTTTTTATCAAAACTTACTATGAACAGATAAACAATAAATAAAAAAATCTTTAGGGTGATGGGAGTTGATTTTTGTAAAACTCTAAACAAAGTCAAAAGTTTAAAAAAAATTAAAAAAATCGGTAATAGCCACTTTAACTTAAAAAATTATCTAATTATAATTATATTTTAAATAAATCTATACATCAATATAATGTACTTACCAGCCTCATTACCAGCCATATTGGAAAAGTTAAAATATTTAAATATTTCGACACAAAATTTATATCTTTCCCGAGCAATAAAACAGCCTTCTTGACAGGTCTCGACATGTCTAACTTTAAAGTTGCTAAAATAGGTAAATCGCAGCCAACTTGATCAAAGTACTATACTTACGTGTTGCAGTGACTATTTATCTATCCAATGGTATAATAAAAGCAACAAAATTCCAATGTCAAAAATTATGTTTTTGAGTAATTTTGTCCATTGGGCGCCACACTGTGCGACGTCGAAACGCTCCGATCCGGACTCGAGAGGGGAGACGGAAAAAATCAAAAGATCACCGCTTAATATTGTCACAGGCATATGACAAACATTTTGGTGACCAACATTTTATTCGTGTTCACCTCCAGTTTTGCTATTGCGTAACAGCGAGTGCTTTCCAGGTTTGCGATGCCTCATTTTAGCCTGATATCCGAAAACAATAAAATAATACCTGCATCAACTCCGCAGTAATTTAGCGCCAACTTCCAACTCCTGACTCCCACACAAAACAACCTCACACACAAAAAGTCGCTGCTCGGTTGTGAGTGACGTGCGTCTGCCAGCAAACGTCGGCTCTAAAATAAATTTAAAGCAAGGAAAAACATGGAAAAATCCTTTGTAGCTTTTATTTTTGTAGTATTGCGAGAGGGAATCTTTGTTTCCCCGCCGCATATGGCCGTCGCGTTTGACGAGTAACGTTACGTCTGTCGCATATACGTATAGGATTACTGGCACAAGGCTTTGTCTTGTCTCCCTTTGCTACCCGTTTTTGCTCGGATGCACGGTTTGTCTCCCTTCATTTGACCGGTTATGTGCGGAAGATTGAATGTAAACATCCGATTCGTTACGTGAATCGTCATTGGAAGCTGCATGCTTTATGCTTTCAATCGGCCCAATCAAAATGTACGAAAAATCGTGAATGGAAAAATCTGATAGTTGATAGATACCGGCGAATTCTGATCGATTAGCAGCAAAACCGGTTTGGTTACATTGCACTATTCGTCGCCAAAATAGTGTAGTGATAATGCACGCTTTTGGCATATTTGCATACCTTCGCCGAGACGTTGAGCCCCATTTGTTCCACATTTGTTCAAGTTGGAACACTGACTATGCTGAACCTGTTTATGAAGATCAAATGGAATTGAAATCAAACTCACGATGTAATCAGTAATCAGTTTGTTTCTACGAGGCATTTGAAGGCAATTCAAAAGGTGAATTCAAAAAAGTTAAACAATATGTCATAACATGGTATATTTATATTTGTCAATAGTTTGTAAAAATTAGCAAGAAGTAAGTCTAGATTTTATCTGTAAGTACCTCAAGGTCCCAAACATCATCAAGAACGGATATTCTCATATATGTATTTATCTGGCCAAATCAAAGCACATAATTATACAGGGTGGCGCATCGAAAATGACGCATTTACTGGCAGCTCATTTTTTTTTTTGAAAAACGCTCAGACCCGTCGATTTTGTTTTCGACGGGGACACAAGTTTGGCAAAAAATCACGTTAGCACGTGCAGCCCCCTAAGCGGAGGTGACACCACCCCCAAAATCTTAGATGGAAAGGAGTGACCTTATTTTAAAGGTCTTTCAATTCCCATTATAATGATATAAAAATTAATGTACTTCAGTTCAGTAGTTTTGAAGATTTATTGATTTAAAGCTTAAATAAAACTAATACATCATCATTAGTGGAAATCAATATATTTGTCAGCAAAGTAATTTAAAAATGAAGAATGAACTGACCTGTTATGCAAGTGCATGTTGAAAATGGCCACCATGACTCTCCATGCAATAATAAAGATTTTGCTCAAAACGTTGCCGCACATTTTGCAATATTTCAGGAGTAATTTGAAGGCACTCAATCACAATTCTTTGTCGCAGGTCTTCTAATGATGTTGGCTGAGTAGCATATATTTTGCTTTTTAAATGGCCCCACATAAAGAAATCCAAAGGTGACAAATCTGGAAATCTTGGGACCCATTCAATGGCACCTCTTCTACCAATCCATCGATCTGGAAACGTCTGATCTAAATATTGTCGAAAAATACCAGCTCAAACATTTAATTTTTGTGGCTGCTGTGTATGAACCTCATGATAAATTCTGGGATTAGAATCGGACCAATATCGGCAGTTATGACGATTTACTACACCATTTAAGAAAAAGGAACATTCGTCGGAAAAGCAAGTGTTGAATAGAAAATGTTCATCGTTGATAATTCGTTCACTCATATCTTCACAAAATTGTAATCGCCGATCAAAATCGTCTACATTAAGTTCTTGTACCAGGTGAATTTTATACGGATGGAAACTATGGGCCTTTAGAATCCGTTGGACAGTACGTCGACTATCACCACACACAGTCTCCAATTTGCGGGTACTTAACGTAGGATCTACATAAACTTGCCCTAAAACCCCCACTTCTATTTGCTTCGTTCCTTATGGGATTTTCAATGTTGCGTTTTTTATTGGCGAGTGACCCAGTTTCCCGAAATTTAGCTACAAGTTTTAGAACATATTTTCGATGCACGTTACTGTTCTCATGTCGCTCATTAAATATTTCTGCTGTTCTATTAGCACACTGATTATTTTGGAATAATATTTCGATAATTTCAACTCTATCTGCTGTGGCATATACCATGGCTAATTTATGTAATAAAGCATTGGTAAAGTTATTTTAGCAACAAAGTTTGGTCAAATTAATCGCAAACTATGTACTATATTCCTATTTAAAATAAGTACGAGATATCTCCTTATCTTTCTTCAAGAAATAACTTTTTTTCCACAAAAAAACGCTCCAATAGCTATTTTCAACAACAAAATAATAAACAAACCATGGGCGTAGTGAAGAAAAGCATTTACTTATTAAGTAAATTCTTTCAGTCAAATTTCTTCTGAAAGTAGTGCAAACTAATCTGATATACCTATTAAAGTCTACTTTAAGCTTTAAATCAATAAATCTTCAAAACTACTGAACTGAAGCTCATGTATTTTATCACTATAAAGGGAAATCAAAGACCTTTAAAATAAGGTATCACTCGACCCCCCGTTCCATTCCATGTTAGGGTTGGTGATTTTTTGCCAAAGTTGTGTCCCCCTCGAAAACAAAATCAACGGGTCTTTTTTTTCCCAAAAAAAAAACTGAGCTGCCAGTAAATGCGTCTGTTTCGATTTCGATGCGCCACCCTGTATATTTGAAATTTCTGTTTATTTTAGTAACCACAGCATATGTTTCAGATGTTACGCTTATTAAGAGCTTCTCCTAACAATAGTATCACCAAAAAGTGAAGGTAAAATCGTGATCCATTCAACCTACAGACATGAAAACAACATTTCTGCTACACCGAACTAAAGTTTATACCTTGTATCAAATGTTCGAAGTTTTCAAACTCACCACACAACAGATGATTCAGAACTTCCAGAATTTCGCCGTTGAGGGTTACTCGAGATTATTCTCCACAGACTTCAAGTTTCATAGTCATAGTTTTGTTTCTTATTATTGGAAGTATGAGCTTTGTAATAGGATTAGTTTCATTTATTTTCGTTACTTTTTTTTAACCTTTGCGTGCTTCATCATAAGTCACCCAGTGTACAAGGCCTTAATCCTGACTCAACCATCATGAAGAACAGTTCTCACTGGCAATTTTAAAACAAAACCTGATGTTTTGAAATTATTTGGTGTTGTTGCAGCAAAATAATAGGGCTGCTGTGATCTGGCTCTCCACATTCTTTCGGTAGTGCGGTGGGATCGTATATAAGCTGAAAATACTGCTGTAATAACGCTTGTAATAATAGCATCTCCAGCAGGACCTAAATCACGCGCTTAAGGGATACGCCAGACACTATTAAGAAGCAGGATTGACCGTCTCAAAGACATGCCCTTCGTTTGCGGATAGGACTAAGGGCGATTTTGCTAACAAACAGCAGGTTGCCACAGATACTGTACAAACAGTAGCAAATATAGTCTTGTACGCTGGATTTAAACTGCGTAATTAAGAGATCGGGCAAACACTATTTAGGTGCATTTTGGTGGTTACAAAGCATATTATTATACCTTAATACCATTAGGCCCTGTTTTGAATAGTTAGGTAACTATAACTTGAACGTTTTTCCCAGCAGCTGTCTCTATTGACAAAATGTCTATCGGTGATCTATAATAGACTCCGACCAGCAGAAATGAACGGTTCTTTGGTAGAACCCGTCAAGGTACAGTACTGCTTTTGAAGCAATAAACTAATTGTTCACTAAATTGTTGCATACACAAGCGGTGATAAACTCCAGGGCTCCAGGTCTTTCGATATATGACTGTTGATACCGCAACAGTGAAGGTTTGAACTACGGTGTTCCAAGATGCTAGGTTTGTCACTGTCAGGCACCAGGGGCGGATCTAAGAAATAATTTTTGGAGGGGATATACAGTGAGTTTGAAATTACCCACTCAAGAAAGTTCTGGAGGGGGAGAAGGGGTTAGTTGTCTCGATTCATGTTCAGGAAGATGCCCGTGTCGGGGTGAAAAGTCGTCTGCAAATTGAAATAAAATTCCAATTTTGGGGGGTCCGAACCCCCAGGAGACCCCGCCCGGATACGTCACTGTCACTTTTGAAGGATGTTGGGTATCGTCAGACAAACTGACAGACATACAGGCACACCCGCGGAAATGACGGACATGGTTTTTCGTGATGTCCAATAAACATAATCACTCAATTTCGCTATTACAATACTTCCTCTTCAGTAGCGTGGAGACTGCAAACAAAAGAACCATCTCTAGAGTTTGCCTTAGTGGACTGATATACTGATGAAACCAAATCCCAAATTATCCTTATTCCAGTTCGTCTATGTAACCACATTTTGGATGGAAACCGGCAAATCTACTACCGGAATTGGCATTGGAGAAGCACCCTCATCCTCCCGATGATATTATATATTTTCGTTTCGTTACGCACACGATAATTGGTCTTGGTTTATTTTGGGAGCTTGAATTGCTGGTAACCGTACCACCGTGGAATTTAATGGG